ATTCCAAGTGACAGATGCCTCATGCACATCATTCTTTTTGTCAATATTGGGAGTGGTAGTACAGCGTAAGACAGAGATTAGCAGTTCAATAGCTCCATCTTCCCAGCTCCTTACAGGCGGTATCTGAAACACTGGGGTCTGCAAGAAATAGGCTCACCCATCTCTTCCTTTGATTTCAGTTTCCTCTCTAAAAAGCATCTGAAATAGCAAAATCCAAGTGTGGTAGAGATGAAATTTACCCTTAAAGTAGCAGTAAGTGTATTTATCAACTTCTGCTTACGCATCCTATGGACATTGACATTTTAACAGTATCAGACAAACTATACAATAACCTACCTGCCACCCCAAGCCACAGATAACCAAGTTATTACTACATGCTGCCAGAAGGTACATCCTCCATAGCAACCTCTGCAAACACTAGCACTGCTATCCTACCTGTTTCATTGTTTATTTGAAATACTCATTTGAAATGTATAATGTTTTAATTGGTTTTAGAATGGGAATATGCCCTTTGAGTTACAGGGTAGAAAGACTGCTCTAAATAGGCAAATTGCACAGCTCAAGACCACTGTAGAGGTTTCTATACAAACAGGGATGACAGTAGCATCCAATAGTTCTAGACTGACCAGAATTCCTTAATAGTATTTGCTCAGGTCTGTCAGTGTATCAATTTCATTACATTCCCAGACCAGAAATGCAACAGCCCTGCAGACAACTGAAGTACACAGATTTGTATGCTCTCAGTCTCTTCACTGCAGAATTTATCTGGCCTAGAAGCAAAAATTAATTTTGCTATCTTCCACCAGCCAAGAATAAAAGATGTTCCCAGTACTGTCCAGTGAGCAAACCTGACTGATGCTGTACTCCAGTCCTGGTAAGTGCTATCCTGTTTACCTTTTTCATGGTAGCTGCACAGCAAGTGAAACTACTGCCATGATGTGCAAGAGCTCTCGAATCCCCTCACTGGCAAGTATGTCTCAGTACCTTCTCATTTCACAGACACAATCTGCGTGCTTTTTGCTCTAGGATACATTAAAATCCTGTATCAGTGGCATTTTACAATGCCATGGAATAGCAGCACTGAGCATGCATTTCCCCCCGCTCTACTTACCTCTTAACTCAGGGAGAATAAAGAGCAGGAAAACAGTTTCACCATAAAATAACAAAAATCTCTACTGTTTGAGCTTTTTCCATTTCCCCAAATTCTCTTGAAAGAGAAGGAAAGAAAAAAAATAATCTCCAAGTGCCAAGCTATTGGCAGTTCTAGGCTGTGTTTTATCTGTGACATCTAAACCAAAGGCCAAATATCCAAGAAAGGCTGTAACTCAATAGCTGTAATAAATACAGTAATTAAGTAGTTGCCTTTAACCCGCAAGTCTGAGAACTGATTTTAACATGTAAAGCTATCAAAACTTGTTAAGCCCATACAAAATGTTTTGGTTTCAAAGGACCTTCCATCCTCAGCCTAGAAAATCCTTTTTTATTTGCAGAAGTCCTCACCAATCCATCAGTAACAGCCTCGTCTGTCACAGAGCTAACTTTTCACTCTCTGCCATGCTACCACTGCAGACCTAGAGGCCAAAACTAAAACTTGAGTTCCCAGAAATCTAGAACAATTCAATTATTGGCTGCTACACCCCTTTTTACTGCTTCCCTTCCAGAGGGTTAGGTCCAACCTACATTCCTTTAGCAGTGGCTATCTGGGAGACTACCTCACCTCCAGGAAACGCACACCCAAAGCTCCAACAATTATTCTACGTGCTAAGCTGGTTTGCTCCTGCATTAGCTTTCACCAGCCCCACCTCTGTTCTAATTTAGCTGTCTGCTCCTTTGAAGGCCTATGATAAATTTGTCTGGTTTAAGAACTGGAGAAGCCAAATGGAGCAAAGAGAGCAAAACCCACAGATACTCCCCAATGGAAAGAAGCACCACATTATTTACAGGAACTGTTATACACCACTTAGTTCAATACCTTCATTTCCACCTTTCCCCAATTCTTTCACTTGTGTGTGAAATACTACTTCTAAAATACACATTCCTGTTGATCTTCCTGTATCATCTCATCTGCATTTAGCACCCCTGTACTTCAACTGGAGAAAAGCCTTATCAAAACGTATCTGAGCCACTAAGGCAACATAAACATACGGTCCTTTCTCTCATCAATGTGATAGAAAGACACACCAATGGTTGTATCTTATTTCTGCTTTTCCTGGTGATAGTTCTGATTCAAGAAGGCTCATACCATAGGCTAAAGTATTAGTTGACTAAGGTACGCATTGAGAAAAAAGCCTTCATCTTCTCTATGCTTGATCATTACAGTCTGCTGATACAAACTTCATGCAATGTACATGTTTTCAGATTACAGTTGAACAGTTACCCTGCAGTGGCCAAGGTTTAATAATGTGCTCACTTTTCTTAAAGTAACTGAATGGTTTTCTTAGTAGAACTTAGCCATTTTGGGCAATGTAACACGAAGCTTTTATCTTCTACTGTTTAATTTAAGCTTGAAGATCCCTAGGAAGAATTTGCTTTTGCAGAACTCTTAAAGTCCCTGCCCCATAGTTGGGATGCTTCTGCAATAAGAAGTTTCTTGCAAGTTGTCAACAGAAACTTGTTTCTTGAAATCATGATCCTTAGGGAGCTGCTAATGCATTTTATTAGTTTCAGTTAGCCAGGATAAGCATGGCCTACACAGAATTGGGTCTGAGAAGCATCTGACTACATTATGTTCTAACACCACATTCCCATGGCTGATGCTTCCCTTCCCTGCAGCTGAAAGATGCGTGCTTGTTCTAGTGTTCAAATTGCACTGTCGCAAAACCCAAAGACCCTCAAAACAACTAAGGTCCGCACAGCACTCTCAACATTTATAACCTCTCACTGGAAATGCACACCAGAACAGCAAAGAGACACAGTTTTGAGAGGCAGAAGCATATATAGATAAAATTCTAAGCTGTCTTTTCAGATGTAAGTTTCTTACCAGCTCTACCACTGAGCTGCCTTCTGACGCCTTCTCCTTGCAGACAGAAGTTCCTTGCTAAACCTTGGATTTCATGGTATGTAGCTGGTGAGGAGGCAGGCAGACAGGAGGAAAAGAAAGCAGCTTCTGGTTTCTTTTTCACTTCCTCACAATATTACCATGTTTTAGAACATAAGTTTGTCCACAGCACCAGCATAAAGTTAAGAAGTGCCAAGCTACAAGGCAGGCAGTCACTATTCTCCAGATCACTTCACCACAGTAATTAGTACAGTCTTTCTGTGTCTATTTAACAATGCTCTGCATGTTAGCGACCCGCAAAATGATTTCATAATAACTACTGAAAAGATGGCAAAAGGACAGACTCCTGAAGTTTACTTCTAACAAATACAGAAAACCTTCATAAAGAACCAGTCAAAAAGACCAGTTTGGGCTCCATTCCAGCTCTCTGGCGTAATACTTGTTCTGTTAGCATCACAGCCAACACTTAAAAATTTGGCTGACACACCCAGGAAAGTGGCTCCCAATACTCTGTATGTGTTTATACAAATAGCCAAGGCTGAGCTTCCACCAGCATTCTTATGGTTGGTTTGTTTTAAAACAGGGAGCCTAAATTAGAGATTTCTGCATCACAGAAGTAGGGCAGGAAAAAGAATTTCTCTAATACCAACTGTTGTGAAGATGGGATGAGCCCATGTGGATTTATTCCACCTTCAGCATCATTTATGCTAGTATTTGGGAAGTCCAATTTAGTTGTCTTCTTCTATCTCATAGCACACAAATATTAGCCCTTAATTAAAAGATAATTTTCTCCTGTAATCTTCATTTTCTTGCAGTAGAGAACAAAACCAAACATTTCTTGCCAGTCATTTACAGCACACATTCACATGCAGTATGTTCATCAGACCTGAGGATAATTCTGATGGGGAGGGACCTCAGGAGGTCATCTTGTCCAAACTTCTGCTCAAAGCAGATAAATTTATCCAGGAGATGACAAGACATAATCTGCTTATTACCTGGAGCTGTAAAGGTTAAGTGACCTGCTAAGGTTAAGGAGGAGGGAAAAGATGCCTAAGAAAAGCTGAACAACACATTCACAACAGAAGGGGAGGGGGAGGGCAGGGAAGGTGGAATTTTATTTATTTTAACCAATATTCACTTCCACTCAAGAGGAAAATCAGATCAGCTCCAGTTTAACCAGCACTGCCCCTACCAGCATCACTATGTTGCCCTAGCAAGATGAAGGGAAACGAAAAAACAGCAAGGTATGCAGGATCATCTACAAAGAAGGAGGAAAACCAGTAAACTTAAGCCATTCACAACATAATAAGGAGCCCTATAAACTCACGTCTGCCATAGAAATGGCTCTTCTTCGGAAGGTTTGCCTCGAGTTAACCTAGAAAAATCACTCATGTAAGCATTGCTGTCATATCAGATACCCAGATTATCCTCATTTTCTTAAATCGGTAGGATCTGGGATTTACCCACTTTCTTTGGACATAAGACTGCATTGGCAGAGCATGCCAGCCACATGCACGTGTGCTCCTGGGAGCCAGAAGCACTCCTGTTCTTCACCTACACAGCACATCACACTCAGTAGAACCACTACTGGCAACTAAATTTCCAAAGCATCCCTGTTTTACATGCAATACAAATAAACAGCCTTGTATCTGCATCATTTACTACAGTCCTAAATATCTCTCATAGACAAGAAGGGGCTGATACTGAACTTTGGCTAATGAGGAGAAGGGGTTTTTTTAATTGTCCGGGTTTTTTAAAAGAAATAAAATAAATAAAGGACAGAGAATAGACTGTAAATCCCCCACATTTGAGGGAGTTTGTTATTCTATGCCAAACACCCCTCCTTAAACCTCATTTTTATACATGGCTTTGGGAGCATCACAAAATTTAGATATAACTGCTGTCACATAATTGCTAAACCATCTACCCAGTGATTGCCAAGTAAGCTTTATCCTTACTTGAATAAATCTATCTAAACTTGGATAACTATCCAGATACTCACTGCTTGGTGGATGTCAGCCTTCACTTCTTCACTCAGCATTCCCTCAAACACAAAGGAATCGCCGAATTTCTCTGCCTGTAAAAAGAATACAGGATTCAACCATATTATCAAAGGAATGTTATTCTTAAAATGCCACTCACATTTACAGCTTTCTTTTATCAAGGATAAGAAAATTCTAATAGAAGTTTTGAATTCTCTTTCAAGGAAGCTATTTTGAAACAGTAGAGAAGGCATTTTATCTCTGGATGTCATTGTTCTGCAGCAGCCACTGGACAGATGGCAGCTCACACAGCTTTTGTGATTGTTTTTACTTTTATTAATTAAAAATGCAGTTCTAGTTGTCTCAACTGCTGTAAAATGCTCCAGTCAATAACCTAATCTTCAAGGGCATATTTCATTTCTCTTATTTTTCCTTCAGGAAAACTAAAATAGCAGCCTTAACCCTTGTCACTTTAGTGCTCCTCCATCATCACTAGCACCATGAATGATTGTATCTGGCATTATAAAAAGCCAAAAGAAAAAAATACAAATAATTTCAATGGATCACAGTACACCATACCAACATAAGGTTTTCCCCCTTTGGTAAACTAAGTGAATTGATACACCAGGGAAGTCAAAACACATTATCATAATTCAACACATTTGCCCTTCTGAATTTCTTCATTGTATTGAGGTATTCAAAGACTGAGAAGCAGCTGCTTCTGCACACTCAGAACTCTTCAAGAAGCATGGCTTGAAAGAAGGATTCCATTCACCACCCAAATGGCAAGAAGTTTTAACATATGACTATAATCTTTGTATTTTCGGTTTCAGAAAGGAAAGTGAAGAAATAAAGATTTCATTTGCCTCTTTTGCCCAATCTGAGACACAGAAAGACACAAACCAATTCATCAAAGAGAAGAAAAAAAATACCTTTTCCCCGCCCCACCTGAAAGACCCAGAGACAAACAGGTCAATCACCTAAAGAATCCCAGATTTGAGTCCAACAGAATCAGGGGCTTTTTTGTTTGTTGTTTTGTGGGGTTTTGTTTGTTTGTTTGTTTGTTGTAAATTTGTTAACAAACACTTCTGGTTCAACAAAAGGCAGTACACCTGGAGGTGTTTTTATTCATGTTTCATTTACCACTGAAGTTCAGTCTAGTTCTTAATGAACGAAAACCAAGAAGTAGGTTGGCTCTATTTACCCACAGTAAGTAATGTGGACATTATTTAAATACACAAAAAACCTCCTCAGCTGCATCCCCCCTGAAACACTGCAGAATCAGTGCTGCTTACTCTAACTCTGAGTTTATTTTTCCAAATCCAATGGAAAAGAGGGCCCCATGTGAGGTGGGAAGGGCGAAGGCCTAAGTGGAGCCCCCAACTACCCAAGTTGAGCCATGACCGCTGTCTGAAACAGACTCCATCTGATGCAGCAATATGTTTCAGTATCACTGCACATCTGCTCATGCCCGAAGCTGTTTGCAGCAAGTAAGCCCTGTTCAAGCTCGAAATTGTTAAGCAACTTTTTTCTTTCATAATTATTGAGGTAATAATTTAAAAACAGGAATAGTGCTGTTGATAAAAGCCCTTCATCCAACCGAAGGCTCCTGTCTTCCAAATGAGAACCAGTTTATCAAGCAAATTCTGCAAAGTGCCTCCTTAGAGACCTGATCATTACCAAGGCTTTTATTTGCCTAAAAGGCCTGTCAGGGTTTTACACAAGTTGCGTAGGAACAGCCAACTGTCAAGAAAGATCAGAGCCTCAGGCACAGGTAGCTTCTTTCTTGGAAGAACCTTAACATATTCTTTCTTAGTCCATTGTTCCCAGTAACAGGCACAAAACTATTATTATACATGCTATTATATCTTCTTCAGACAGCAGGGCTTTCTATTGCTCAGCTCATTAGCAAGTAGCTGCACTGAGCTAGCTTGCAGAGGCCTCAGCTATCGTAAGTTTTTAAAACTCTTCTCCCCTCTTCCTCTAAAATAAGGAAGACATAACTCAGTTAAGATATTAGATATTAGGATATCTAACACAGTTGCACTGGGGCAAAGATGTCCTAGGACTCAAAGGTCTAAAAAAAACCCCAGCCAAACAACAAACAAACCCAAGAAATCCTGCACAGACATCTTCAGCCATCTGTTAGCTTCACCCAGGCTGCCTCAGTCATGCTGCAGGGAAGATATTAGTTCAGCTATCAAGCCACTTACTACATGTAACAGCATGCACCTAAGTGGTTTTTCAGACCTCTGGGCAGCAAGGCAAGACAATTTCATTTCTCCTCTACTTATATCAGAAATATTCTAGCACGCAAATTCCAAGTAAATATTGTAACAGCCTTCAAAAAAGAAAAGCCTAAGTGTTTAATGGGGGCTTTGCCAACACAAAGAAAGATGACAGGAGCCTGTACACCCTTCTGCCTTACCTCAGTAATGTACTCAGTAGAATTCACAAATCTCTCAAATTCCTCATTGCTGACCTCGTACTGATCCATGTAGAAGCTGTTAATGTGGACTCTTCTAGCAGGCCATTCTCCATCTTGCTGTATTGCAGGCTCATCTGTGCCCATTGTAAACACTCCTCCTGGAATAGCAACCATCTGCACAGAAAACACCACCCAAAAGTTGACAAAAATGAAAGATTGAAAAGCCTCGTATCAGTCTTACTCATTCTCCACCTCATCTTTGGAGGTGCTTTGCTTTGAGCAGCATTTCACTGACAAAAACAGCACAACAAAATGGCAACAGTGGCATCTTGAACACCTCCTGTTTGGAAGACATAGCAAGCAGAACTTAAATTGAGAATAAACCCCCCATTTGCATGAATGTCTGGGTAATTAAGAATTTTATTGAGGGTGATGCATGTGCTCTAATGTTAGAGGAGTTCTCCTGCCGTACCTATGAGCCAAGAAACAATTCAGAGACCTTTCTACTCATTTTCAGATGAAAAATTTTGGTATTTCACTCTATTCCTAGGAAGGCTTGATGCATCCATGAAGAATCTGGAGATTACGAAACTGTAAAGTGCTCTTCTGTGGACAAGCCTGTGCTTGTTTGCATACTAACTACAAATGGTTTTTCATTTAATGACAGGCATGTGCAGCATTTTATTGCCAGCTATGCTGTTAACTGGCAGGTAGACACAGCACCTGCAGCTCTGTGTGCCAGAGATGAGACAAACTTTCAAGACAATTATATCCCACTCCTCAGGGAGCCTGGCCTTGGGAAAGAGCCTCAAGCTTCAGAAGTAAAGGACAAATGACAGGATAACATTTTAACTATTTCAGTAGGATGTTTTCCTTCTAAGGCCTCAGCCAGTTTCCAGAGAAACACAACACATTTTTCCTCAGTTTTAGTAGGCTCTTTCCACGAAAACAAAGGCTCCAGAAGCCTTGTCATGGTTCATCAGATGTTTCCCAAGAGCCCTCTAATTCCACAGACTGAGCAACACACTCCTCACCCAAAAAACAAGAGCATCCGTAATTCCTGCTCAGAAGCTTGTGCTGGAATATGGGATGACAGCTCAGGATTTGTAAAATCTTCCTGATGGGCAGGTGGTGTTTCAAGGGCTGACTGCACAAGAGCTAGCTTGCCAAGAAGTCACCGTCAACACATCAAAGAACTGGAAAAGAAAACTCCCTCTCCTTTCTGTTCAGGATTCCTGAGCTACCCTCACCCTCTAACTCACCCTGAATTCGGCCACCTCACTCCCCTGCAAAGAGGCTTGTGAGTGGGTGAGCCCCAAGAAAGCCATCCAGCACCGATGTATATGTCCACTGCAGGAAATGTGGCATATCACACTGCACCTGAACACACCCTGGCAGTGATCTCTGATCACACACTACTCTTACACGGAATTCAAGCAGGTGGAACACTGACAGAACCTAAAATGAGCAAAGCCAGTTCTAAGAGAGAGCACGGTTCTATTGCAAAATCCTGATGTTTGGTATGCAGGAAATTCAAGTCTAATAACAGAATTATTCATCAAGAGAGAAGTTTCCAGACTAGCTGACTTCTAACTCTGCTCCAGAAGTTTAGTGTAAGTTCCAACAGAATAGGAAGCCTGGGTTTTAGATGTACGACAGTTCAAACATAGTGGAATAACACCCTATGCAATGTGCATATTAAAAGTAGCTAAACCGCAGAGGTGAGGTTGTAAAAATGTGAACTGATGTACGATTATTTAGATGACAAGGCAGGGTCACAGTGTGAACTTTGGGCTTGGCACATATAGCCATTTTGCAGCACAACCTAGATTACAGGACCTTGATTCTTCCATAGTTGGATTTGTTTTTCTCACTTTACAAGATTCTCTTCCTTAAGTTAGATGCTTGCACAAACACAGTTTATCTGAATGCCCACAACAACTCATAAACCAGGAAGACAAAAAGAATCATTAGTTACCTTCCAGCTTCTGGAGTTCACTGTTAATTATGTAGTTACTCCACCACCAGCATACCAAATGATCAGAAAAAGTTCACATCAGCTATGCAATACCTCTCCCTACTCTAGAGAAGCTGTAGCATTCGACTTATCCAATGTCATTGCTTCTTCCCCACTACAGAGCTCTCCTTTCGCTTGGGTCTCTCCCAGCAACACTTAACTTGCAAGAGGCCTGTAAGAAGTGGTACAAATACTTCTTCCCTTTGAACTAACCACATTTAAAGCAAGCTGCATCCTCATAATTCTTCTCCACTAAAAAGAATCTGAGCACTTACAGATTGTCTTTAACCAAATCCATAAAAGGGCTTCAGGATAAATTTGCTTACATTTTTTAGGACTTAGGGAATGACAACGTGGCACAAAGTTGCACCACTTCCTTCCAATCTCTTTCCAACTCACTGTAGCTAAAACAACTCCCTGAAGCAGTCTTCAAAGCAAGATTTGGAGCTCACCAGTGAGCTGCTGTCTAGAAGTGTGTGAAAAGTTAACTCTCACTTTACAGCCTAGCATTCACTGCCAAAATCTGAACAGTCTCTACAGATTGCCCGTGTACATTCAGCTAGGAATGGGCTTCCTTGGGAACCTGCTGCTTTCGCACACAGTGACAGCTGAGACTTCGGCATGTCCACCAACGCTGTGCCCAGCTGACACCAAGTATTCATTATTCCCCCACTCCAAGCTCATTTCACAGCTCCACCTCATGTTTGGAAACAGGACCTTCCTTTGACAATCACCTTTACGATAACACATCATAGGCTGAAAAGACATCCAACAGCACTCCTCAGCCTGAGAACAGCAGAATACAACGCTAAGTGAAGAAAGGATTTTCCACACAGACATCACATCCAGAAACCACATCTGTAGAGTTAATGAAGCAGCTGTAACATCCAGTTTTAAAATACAGGTAGCTAAAACCAAGGGACTAATCTCCAAAAAATATCAAAGTTGAACTATGGAGGCAGAAACCCATCAGCAGAGGCTTACAGATTTGTCACTGGCTGTGTTAGGTAGAGTGTGCAACAATAATTGCCTGTATCTTCACGGTATTACTTAACTAGCACATGCAGTTCATTGTCCTCAAAGCTCAGCTTCAACAACAGGGACCACATTTGCCTATGATTATACTTAGTTAAAAGTATTGTGGTAATTTAGAGCAGACCTACTAAAATGCCAGCTCCTCAGTTCTAAAAATGTAGTGGAAACAAATAATCTCATTTGTGGTTGAAGTAGAGGCTAATTCTTCCTTCACTTCCCGTTTGGTAAAAATGTTTTCTAGCTAAGCATAATCAAGTTATGCTGTGGACATGGCCTAAAACCCAGCAGCAATCAGTTTTCACGACCTAGTGCTGAAGTTGCCAGCTGCCTTCCATAAAGCAGAAGTCAAACAATTTTTTTCCACACTGAGACCCACAGCAAAATGCCAATATTTATTACATTAAAAGTATATTAGTGACACAAGTGCAATATGAATTATTCAATTCATACTCTTTAAACGTTATAAAATACCTTAGGTGCAGCCTGCAATAGCAAAACCACTGAGCATCCCGCCCTTTACTTGGTAAGTTTTCATGCTGCCTGCATGACACAGGCTTTTTCCAAGCTGACACAGCTTCCCAGCACTAAACACCCTATTTGCAAACCACCTCGCACAAGAACAAGATCCAAGCCTGCTGTGGTATAACTTTGGCCACCAAAGTTTACTAATCCTTTCCATGAAATGAAGCAGTAATCCCATTCCTAATAATGGGATTATCTCATCCAGTGAGGCACTTGGTCTCCAACAATACAGAAAGCCTCAGTATGCCTTTGCAATAGGCACTGTCATAGCACATCAACGCACTTTAACCACTGCCTTCCTCAAGAAGCTCGGGCCAGCGTCTTTCAGAAGAGTAGCAGCAGCAATAGAAGGGAACAAACAATTAAAGAGACTTTCACCAAAAGAAAACCTGAAAAGATATCTAGATATGGACAAATAAATGATGGTTTTGCTAGAAAACACAAGAGACGTGGCACATCACTTGTCAGCGTTTCAATTCCATTGACACCTAAAAGAGACGGAGTGAGGGGAGCAAAGAGATCACAGAATTGATATACACCAAGTAAGGGGCTTCCCTAGCAGAGCTGCCACCTCCCCAGGCTGTACAGCAACACGCAACCCCGCTGAGGTGGACACTGGCGCACGTATCCCCGGTTTGAGGCAGGGGGAGGCCAAAAAAAACTGTGTCTCCTGGGTGGGGGAGGGGGCGAGCTCTGCCAAAGCAAACAGCCGAGAACGACACCCGCACTCGGTTTGTCACTTCCCTTGCACAAGGAGGAGCGCTCAGGGGGACCGCGGGGAAGGCCAACAGCACAGCCAGGCCCCTCCCCATCCTCAGGGGCACCCACAGGGCGCCGGAGACGCCCGGGCTCCCTGTTGGGAAGGGCGGGAAAAACAAGGCGAGGCCTCGGTGCCCCAGCCCAGCCCTCACAAGCCCGGCCTAAGAGAGCTGC